CTTTGATCATTTTCATTTTCCCAATCGTTCGCCAAAATGGCACGACGGAATCACGGATCGGTCGACCATCCAGGAGAGGCGAAAGACAGATGGCGGCCGGCGATCTCGCGATGTCGGTGATAAGAGATCGCGATGATCCTCGGTAGAGAGAAGAGAGAGAAGCAGAGAAGAGAGGGAGAGAGAGAGAGAAAGACAAAGAGAGAGAACGCGGGGGCGTGGGCGCCCAAGGCCTTCTGCTCGCCATTTACGGCCCAGCATAGCCGGACACGGAAGATTCGCGGGGTAAGGGAAAGAACGACGAGAACCCTGCGATGGGGCGAGGACAACGGGTGGCGCGGGTGTAAGGAAGGAGAATGAGAAAGATCAAAGGAGGCAAGAGAGAGAAATGGATACCATCGTCAGACCATTTTAGTCGCGCTGCAAACTGGAAAGACCACTCGAAACTCAGCGAAACGCGTCCGCTATTGGTGCTGGATGAGTTCCGATCGTTTTGCTCGGCTCGCGACGATCGCAGGACTCATCATTGATCGCATGTTTTGTTCGACAGGTTTGACTCCAAGTTTGACTTCTGGATGTTTCTCGCAATGGAGTTTCGCGAGTTGACGCGAAGACGCGAAAACGCGATTTTCTTTCACGTCACTTTCACGTCGCTAATCAGTTTAGCTGTAGAACACTTGTTGAAAAAGAGAAATACACGAAGACGATATTACCGCATTGGTAATTCTGTGAGATTATCAGTATTCGAGTTTAATAGTCAGTGGAATAGAACGATTAATTTACGCTGCACATTTAGACTTGCGCACATTAGTTATAATTCACGGAACAGTATTGCACCACAATGTAACAAAGAGAATGCTATTTATTCGTAACAACGGTAATTAGAATGTTTGTAAGAGCGTGTCCCGTGTACACATTAGTTAATAAATCGCTTTCACTTCCTAATTTAAAAATCGAAATTGTATATGGAAAGAATGGTTTTGATGAAGTACTTAAAAATTTAGATACAGATTTGAAAATAATTTTATTGAATCAAAAAATTACTTAGGAAATGCAAGCATGATGAGCAACGCTGCAAATGATTTTGACATTCTCTCTAAATTCTTTAGAGTAAATCTCATTCCAAAAGAGTGAAATCTCACTCTCTTAAAGAATGAAAATTCTATCGCTTTTGAAAAGAACTTTCGCTCATTTGGAGTGAGATTCACTCCAATGAATTTAGAATTCTAGCAATCAACTTGAGCGTCTTACATAATTATTTTTATGGCTCAAATAAAATTACTTTCAAATCGATATTTAACTCAGTTTTTTAAATATTTCAGTAAAACTATTCTTTTCGTATGCACTCTTTCTAACTTACAATTGACAGTTAACTTGCAACTGTATAAAGAGATTTTCCATTTACACGCCGTGTCTTAATCGATTCTCTCCTGAATGTCAATGAAACATTACTTTTCTGAATAGTCTTTGATAAAGAGTGCGTCACTTTTCCTCGAGTTAGTTAATCTACGCGTCGCATCGCGTATACTACAAAAACGCGACGCGGGGATTAATCCAGTCTAAGCCGCTGGCAACTCGGCGTAACGAAGATCGTAAATTCTGTCCAACGCGTGTTGCGGACCGACGTATCATCTAGGATACGCACGATCATCCTTGCATAACGATTATGCGGCGTGACTCGCCTGCAGTCCCTTTAAAAAAGCGCTCTCGCGAGAACGGGCGTTCAAACATTACGGCACTATACGTGGATGAGGTGTCAAGTATATCGCGAGCGAGAATAACGCTCGATCGCTAAATCGCTATTTTTTCCCCTTCCGTCGCAATTTGTCGGCCGCTTTCAAATCCCACGAGAAATCCCGTAAAGAGACTTTCACGATCCACCACTACGAGCGATCCGCGACACCTAGCGCGATGTTCCGCGTATTTCCCGCGTACATTCGTCACGCCGGTGCACGCAGGCTCGTTCGTCGGATTTCTGTTTGTGCACCACTGTCTTTTTTCCCCACAATGTCGATTTACTTTTACCACATTACTTGTCACTCTGACGTAAGTTACGTCGTAGCTGTGTTATGCTGTCACTTAAAAACCCGAATCGCGCAATGACCCTTCACTTTCACATACGACGTCCTTGGACCAATTAAAAGAAACTCGAAATTTATCTGACGGAAAGAATAATATAGTATGTCGATATTTAACACATATTGCGAATATTTCTTCTTGCTATTAATGATATAATTATATATATATATATATACTGAGAAAAATATTTTGATTATATCAACAAGAAATACAAATAAAAATGCATTCCGTTACTAATCACTCTATTTATCATGAATGAATTTACCCCGACTAGAATGTTTGATAGATTTAACTATGTAAGTAATGTGATTTGTATCTTTCTGGATGTCGATTGTATCTGAAAAGGAGGAAAAAAATTATATAAAAGTGAATAAATTCACTAGAATATTTATAATTTCATTGGTCAATATATTGCGAATTTCCTCACTTTTGTAATTTTTATCTTTTAATTATCATTTTAAGATACGCAATTAACACCCTGATTGAATCTACCAGATTTTTAATTTATGCAACCAAATCTTTTCCGTATACGTAAGTATATTATTAACATAATTATATAAACAATTAATATAATTAATTATTTATTAATAAAATTAATATAATTCTCGTAGAAACAAAATTAATAAAAATAAAAAAGTATAACCCTAAATTCTTTATTTTCAAATTTACTAAATTTTTCAATTTCTTTTACAATGAGTCATAAAAAATATTTAAAAATAAAGTAACTTCATATTTTTTTAACAAAGGCAAAAGCAAAACACGCAGAGAAAATATATTAAGTTACCGAAGCGTTTCAAACTTGAGAGCGATGTTGAAAGGAAACACAAACGAAGCGGTTCTTCGGGTTCTAATTTTCGACGAAAAGTCCAACATCGTGCTCAGACTTATCGCCTGGTATCGCCCGCGGCTGGGCAGTTTCGCGATGTCCGGGGCGAACTCTCTTTGGCAGAGGAGGGCAACGGACCGGTTGGTCCTCTCTCGCCGTCGCATTCCCGAATATGGCAACGCGCATCCCGAAGTGTTACGGACACGACGCACGTAATACTCTCGAACGCACAACGCGCTGGAATATATTCGAAGTTATTCCGAAATTGTTATCTCGCGTACGTCTTGTATTCGAATGCGGTTACCGTAAGTCTAAAGTAGTCTAAACATCATCTGTGTCTAATGAAAATAAATTATTTGGCGAACGTATCACCTCCCTCCGAGTTTTCACTTACCTGGAATAAACTCTTGATAGTACAGCAACCGATAGATGATTTTAGCAAATTTGCGTTACTTTAATATTATTTTTATTTAGACATAAAATAAATAAGAAGCTAATTGTTGTTTTAATGAATTGTGCTCAGAAAATAAGTTCTAAATTATTCATAGAAATTTATATCAAATCATAGTATGTGAATATAAAAAATAACGAAGCAGATAATTTATTATTACAAACATTATAATATATATTAATATACATTTTAATCTAAAATGATGCAATTAATAACAATCTTCTTTCATTCTAATGATAAATATTTTATTAAGCATATAATAATGCGATTAATGCTTAACAATTAAAAATAATTAAATATGAAAGAAGTTTAAAAAATATGGAATAAGAAATAAAATGTCTGCACATATGTTGGTAAGCCAAATGAAAAGCTTCGTTTCTTCGTTTTCAGAAGAAATCTTCATTTATTGATTAAATGAGAATAATCAACGTTTTTAAATTGCTTGTGGATGTAATGTATTATTAAAATATTCATTTATAGTGTTCGACATTATTATCGACAAAAATAATATAATCTGTAGACGTCAAAGGAAATTAAATAACATGACAAACTTACAAAAACGTGATAGCATTTCGGAATCGTTAATCAATATCACAAAATTAATAACTCTTAAAGTTTCAAGGTAACGCACCTTTATTTTAGACGTTATCTTCATTTAAATAGAACGAAGACAGATACAGCAAAATCGATCGTACCCGATCGGTGGCAGTGTGTCCGTATCAATGGATAAATTCGCGATCGATATCATTACGTAGACGTAGAGCATAATAACTAAACTACATATTTTACGTTCTTGCATTAATGGATTGAGTAGAAGAATCGTTCTTCAAAGACATAAATTCAAACTTTCCATCAAAAGAGATCGTCGTAACGTTGCCCGAAAAAAATACGGCTATACAATAATCCATAAACGAGAGAGAGAGATTAGAGACTCTCTCCTTTCGTATCTCCCTTACTTAGTATTCATACTTGCGAAACACGGCACGATAAAAGTGTTAAATAGTTCGAAACAATTTATATGCAGCGTCCACTTAACATTCCGGACGCTCTTTATAGTCTAGAACTAATTTACAAAGAAAATATCGGTACACGGGATTTACTTTGCCCCTCTTGATACCTCTTCGCGTGAAGATAAATGATAAGGCTTGCTGTCATTTAAGAATATAATTCATAAAAACCTCATAATTTTATCTTCCACGCGGAGCTCATTGTTTTTCGATTCCTCGGTTGCTGATTCAAAATACATTCTTTAACGCGGTAATGAGGAAAAACGATAGGATCAGTTAGAGAGTGTCAAGTAAGAAATTGAACACTATTCTAAGTATGGCGGACCAAACATTTACGATAAAATGAAACAGATATTCATGCATTTTATTAGCTGCGTTCAATAAAAAAAACACAACTTTAATTATTATAAAATTCTTTATTACGATTAATTCTTGCCCCTAGTCTCATCTAAATGTATAAACTAATCATATTAAAGAATCTTACAATAGTTGCTACTTTTTCTATTGAACGCAGCTATTCTACATATTTTGCATCTCATTCTATCTCAAACACCGTCTTAAATATGGCAGACCAATCAAAAGTTGTATAAATAATATAATCCAATCTCTTACAATGAGGATTTCTAAAACAGTTGTCTAAGAATGTAACTTATGAAAAGCTTATAATTTTTTTACGAAAAACTTGTTTCTCGATTCTTGTTGTCTCTCAATTGCTGATTCTAAGGGCATTCTTTAAAGGTATTCTTTATAGCGGATCCAAGATTAGCAAAAACAAGATATCCCGTGCAACGATACATTCTATGTCTGGCACTCTTTCGAGATCCTGTCTTTTGACGACACGGGAGTAAATATAAAGGCACGAAGATCTCTTTGGCTGGCGTTGCTCTCGATGACCGGTCGGTGCGATATCCGTTCGACGACCCACGCCGCCGTTCCTGAAGTGTCTTTTAACGCGTGTCGCTATCCAGGGACGACGCATCTCCTGCCAAGTACAGCAACGCCGGTGTAGTTTTGGTCCTTTCCATCGCTCTCGCAGACGCGCAGCCGTGCGTCTCTGTCTTTTCGTTTGCGGGCCACCGGTTGAATCCACCGACTGCGACCGGAGACTGGAACCGGTATGCAATTTCGACGAGTTCACTTCCCTGTGCTGCAAGACATGGCCAAATGCACCTTTCGCGCTTACGTCTACAAGTAAAGGAGAAAGTGGAAATATGAGATAACACACACGGGAACATAATAAGAAATGTGATCTTCCCTCTATCAGAAAAATATAAAAATTACGGATGCAAGATATCGTCTATGCAGTTTGATATTCATACCATACTGGAATGCGCATAAATCTTAAAACATGTAACAAATATAACGCGTAAAGCTAAACGCTTAATTTCATGGAATCAAAAGCACACAGTTATGCTGCTCTTTATAAATATTTTCATTTGTGCTTGCAGCATCGAGATCGTTGAACTCGCCAAAACTATGTCAGATTCTTGAGAATGACTAGCAAAAGCGCGTATCTTTCTTTCTTTTTCTCTCTCCTCCCCCCTCTCTCTCTCTCTCTCTCTTTCTCACCAGCAATTGTGATCTCCACGAACGCAACTTTGCGCGACTATCGCTGTCGCATCGCTTCGAGTTCGACGAGCAACAATCGGCGGAAGGAAAAAACGCGTCTCTTTGCGAGACCAGACCCGCGGATCCTCGAGGAAGATCTATCAGCTAGTCTTCTGAAGCTCCGACTGCGATCGCACGTCCCACGTCGTCCCCGGACGCGACGACGACCGCGCGATGCAGATGAGCGAGAGCAGGACTGCGGCAGCGGCAGCGGCGAATCGAACGTACCGTCCCTCCGAGGCAACCTGCAACAATAATCATCCGACTCATGGTGCGCATGAAGCGATTGCGTAGATTGCATCGGACACGGTCAATTGATCTATGGACATCGCGCCGGGACACGCGTCTCTAGGCTGCTTAGTTGTGGCAGGTGAAATCGTAAGCGCGCACGTGCCTGACGCGCATCGTTTTCTTTCGAGGCGATCGCGTAGATCGTTCGAGATATTTGCCGTTACGTTGCTAAACAATACTGATGGCGCGTTTCTTTTAAAGTGAAATCACTTTGGATTGGAATTTATACCTGTGAAATGGAAATATCAATGGTTTGAAAATAGTATAAATTATATTTTTTAGAATGCCTTTAGAATATTGTTTTATAAATTTGGGATTATTCCATGAATTGAAATAAAAATTTACAAACTAAATGCATATACAAAAAAAAATTATATTGTGTTAACAAGATAGCTAACAGCAGTCATCTCATGAAATTCAGAACTTTTCAGAATGTGTGTAATTTTATAACTTTTTAAAAAATTTATTAGATTTTTTTTATACTTAAAAAAATGATGAAAATCTTTCTCATATATATATCAATATTTTTAAGAATGATAAAGATCTTTCTTATCATTTTTTTAATATAAAAAAATCTGTAATATTTTTTAATTTTCTGTTATAATTCTTATAAACGAAGATGAGTGCAAAAAAAATTTATAATTTGCGACGTCAACTATATATATTTTTTGTACATAAACCTATAAATATAAATTATGACTAACATTTTATACCGGTAATAACTATAAAAATAGAGTTACTAATCATATTTTATCACAATGATAATCACAAATAAATACCTTTCTCTCAGTGAAAGATACATTTCCTAACTCTTTAAAAAAATCATGTATTATCTTTATAAAATACTGATAAGAATGTGCGTTTGTACTTTCTGTATGAAGCATAAACATTTTTACGAATATAACATCGATCACGCTGTAATATCACGATTCAGATGATATACAAATGCTATCCAGCACGTACAAGTATATCACGTAGGCGATCGGCGGATGTACGCCGACGATCCCTTAAGAATTCAATACGTTTCTGAATGCCAGTGTCATAAAGAGCAAAGTTATTCAATGGACACCTACGCGAGTACGAACGAGAACAAGGGGAGACGCTCACCTCGATCAGGCTTCTTGAAGCTCGCCCTTCACTCCCGGTACGCCGTGGTGATGCCTCGAGGCGAGCTTGTTCGCCAATTCGTGCATCACGTCTCTGTATATCACGGTGTCCAAATTCTCGCCCAGCATGTAGAGAAGAAACCAATCACCGACCTTACTACGACGCACTATGGTCTCTACGGCGTCCCTTCGTACCAAACGAAACCTCATTCGCAACAGGTAGACCCTCGTGCGCGGCGAAAATATTATTAGGATCTGCAGGGAAAATAGCAAATTATGTTGCAAGAAAAAAAAGTAAATAACAATAAATGACATTAAATAATATGTGAATAACGCAACTAAAATGCTTAATAATATTTTAGTTTGAATTTATATACATATCCAATAACATATTTTGTAAACTATCGATTTAATTTTTCTTCTTGAAACGTAATTTTAAATTGGAACTAGAATAATAATAATATCTCAAATTAAATTGACAAGCGACTTAATTATATTGATGCTAATAAATATTTTAGAAATTGTAAAGAATTTATTACTTGAAAAGAGTTAACTTATTATGTTGATTATTATTGATTTCAATTTTATAATCGCAAAATAAATGAAATCGCGAATATTGTTTTATTATCCTAAAGATAAACATTTATACTTAAATTGGGAAATTTAAATAAAAAATACCGATTGAGGTAGAAAAATTGTATTGTTTCTATATATCGCGGATATTATTTATAAAATACAAAGAGTACTTTTTCCGGGATTACTGACCCTATATAAAACCGTAAAGAAACTGAGCACGCCGAGGAGAAGGAACCAAAACCACAGAAAGACATAGATCTTCTCGTTCACAACATTTAGAGGCAGTATACAGACAGCATCATGTCTCTCGACTTCTCCGCTGACGCCGTACTTGTAAAAGGTGCATTTGGTCATTCGTGGGAAGACATAAATCATTGGGTCCACTCGGTCTTCTTGATCGGATTCGAGGAATCTAAGTACGTCGATGCCAAAGGTCAAGAAGGCGCCGTCGAAGAAACGGTTCATTAGAAACATCTGACCTGCGACAATGTGCTCGTTGCTTTACAATTCTTCGTTATTTCTATTTGTTTTTCTTTCAAAGCAATTTCGATAATTGCTTATAATATATACAGGGTGTTTCGGAATTTGTGATACAACCAAGAAAGCGATGATTCTACATGAAAAAGTAAGTCGAAAACGTAAAATAAAATTTTTTTAGACTTTCGGAAAAATCGACTTTAAATCGAATACTATGTCTACTATACTATTTCTGCTTATTTTGTGTTGATCGTATTAGATAATCGAGAATATGCAATAAAACAGGATATTCACACACGATGAATTTCATTACTTTATATAAATTGTTGAAAATATCCGAAAACAAAGCTTCATTTGAAAAAATTTATTTTACGTTTTCAGCTTATTTTTATATAAAATCATCCCCTTCTCAGTCGTATCACAATTTTCGGAACCTTTCTGTCTGTATAATTAATTAAAAGCACAATTAATCTCTACTGCTTTTTTAATATTTCTGTAACATTGTTTTTTAAAAATTATTACAAAATTATTTTAACATTATTAAATATATATTAAATCTTGTAACAAATAAATTTATACCAATCTCAGCCCTGAGAATAATATTTGTAATGCTTTTAGAACAATTTTATATCTAAATGAAATATTGAATAATAACTTCGTGTTTAATCAAACAATTATACAATACATATATTTTTATAGCTTTCGTAGTAGATTGATTCATGTACGTGTGAAAGATTATATTCCTGCGTACGTTTATGATGATAGTAATATTACTGTAATTTGAATGTAATAGACATAAAAGATAAAATTGACGCGCTATCTCAAAGTAAAATCGGGGAGTTCGTAAGCGGTTGGCCAGCTGTATCGCTGCCAACTTTTACCGTGAATCATTCATTCATTCACCGCTCATTATACAGCCTTCCTTTTTCTTACACGCACATACGTTTGTAAAATTAACGCGAGCTAGTCTCTAGAGATAGTTTGTTGAATTCCATCGTCTTTGACATGGCCTTTCTATGAAAACGATTACATTATTGCAACGTGTCTTGAAAATTTGTAACATACACTAAAAAAAATTACTAAATCTTAATTTCTTTAAATAGCTCTAAGTAAATCATTTACTTATAATAAATAAATATTTACTCAATAAGAAGAAAAGTTAAATCAAATTAACGGGGTTTTTATGTCAAATAAATATATATTTAGTAAACATACATTAGTAAATATTTGCTTAGAACTATAAACAAATATTTATTAAAATTCGTTTTTTTAATATTAGAATACTTTGCATCTATAGAAATTTAATTTTTATGCCGTGTTTAAATATTTAGATGCACATAACTGCTTGCACGAATTACGAGATTTAAGTATACAGAAATCAAGGTTGACATAGATATGAAAAAATATTCTTATAATGAATATTTTTTAATGCTTTAAAAGTTTGTATAGTAAGTTTGTATTGTTTAAATGACAATAGTTAAGAGCAATTCGGCAAATATTATACGAGATTTGTTATCGCGGTATCTTTATCATTCTTTTTAACGAAAGATGGAACAAGGTAGAAATGTATAGATATATATTTTACAAGTAAAATACCTATGTAAGCCTCTGCGGTTGTTGATACATAAATTATGTATTCATAACGTGATAAGATACAATTCGTAACTAACTGGGATGTACTTACTTACTAAACGAAGTTAAGGTAAATGTAAATGTGCCAACTCTAGATTTGAGTCCTCTTCAGCACGAAAGTCAAGTACAAACAGTTTGTACTGCGATAACAAATTAAATATTTGTTGAATTGTTCTCAGCTATTAATATTCAAACTATATTACACAAACTTTTAAAGTATCAAGAAATATTTATGTTTATGTAAATTCGTGCAAGCTGTTATATATCTTTAAATGTTCAAACGGGACACAAAAATAATATTTTTCAAACTCACACTTGAAATGTTTGCATTATTTTAACTTTATTTGTAAGTACATCTCAATTAGAATACATAATTTACACATCAACAACCGCGAAAGCTCACATATTTTATTTGTGTTGGATTTAGTCTTGGAATCACAAATATTGTTATTTTATTTTATTTTAATATATTTTTTAAACATAAAGTTTATGTTTACACAGCGAAAAGCTGTCGATTGTTCTTTAAAATTTTATTTCTTACTCTCAGCTATGCAAACGTATGCGTTTTCAGCAGCGAAAGAGAAACGCTTTAAATATCATTCTCAAGCGCATAACTGGTTTATGTTTATCAATTGTAAACAGAAGATACGCGGTGACGTTCGCCTAACGGGTCTGCGAATTCCGATTTGTCTGTGTTACGACATCGTGATGAGGACGTACGTTGATCGAGATGCTCAAACATTGACGGAGGACTTCGGCGCGGACCAAAAAAAAGAGAAGTGTGGGCTACTCACCGATCACATTTAGGAGCGCAAGGACCTCGCATAGGTAGTACCTGTAAGCCCACCAATTGTGAAAGCGAAGATTCTCCCAGAGGTAGTCGAGCAGCATTTTCTTCTTTTGCTTTTTCTCCACCTCGGAGCAGAGTCCGATGTCGAGATCCATCATAAGGGCATGAATCTTGCCACCCTCCCAGCCCTTCCAGAGCCAGCGCGGGGTATAGAAGAGGATCGCCTGCGAGCAAAGTGCCGGGTGAATAAATACCGACGAATCAGCCAATCACTGATATATAATTACGAGGAGTTCCGTGGGAGGCGGACCTACTTATGTACATACTAGCACATAGTTATGATAACACGCAAAAAGAGTTATCATTATTATACCTTGCGTCCGATAACTGTTGATTAAAACAATACACGGAACACTCATACACGAACGAAAATTTATTTTACGCACTTTTAAAAACTGTTAACCGCACCTCCTTTCAAGAGGCGGAAAGTATCTCACGCGAGAGCTTAATTATTTCGTATCGTCGCTGTTTATCACGCTTAGGTATCGATGTTCTACGAATTAAGTTGCACATTGGCTATTACTCATAATGTAACTGCACTGTAATGAATTAACGGCAAAATTTAATCTGCGATTAATTAACCTTTAGTGTGCGGGGATATATTTTTTAAATCTTACAATTTTTCTTGAGTAAGATTTCTTGTATGTATATTATATTGCGGTGTACTCCTTGCCTTAAAATATGACAATTTCAGCGCCATTATAGTGACCATCTTATAAAATTTAACTTTCTAGTTCGTTATCTCACTGGAATCTTATTAACAGCTTGACATCGCTCTTATTTTTACAATTTAGTTATAAATTATATTAATTAATAATTACCATTTAATGGTAACACTTAACATAAATTACACAACATATACAGACTATTCGAAAATCCAAGTCGAATCCATTATCAAGTCTTATCTCGCAATCTATCGTAATGTTTTATTAACTTCCTATAATATTTTTATTCGATAGTATCTTAGAATACTAAAATAGAATAGCTAGTATCTTAGAGAGCTGAATGGCAGAGGTGTAAGTATAGTTACGCTTGGAGCGATAATCTGAGCTAATTGAATCGAGGCAACCTTATCTCACATTAGAATTTCCGAAGCGATGTCAATGCACTTATCGAGACCACGATGTGGGAGTAAACCCTTTCTCACGGTATATAAAGCTTTCTGGCTTATCGCCAGAGGCCTCGGGTCGTGCTTGCCGTAGTACACGATCGAATATAGATACGTACGCTCGTCGCGCGTTACCCTCTTACGACGTCTTGGCGAGTGTTCAGAAAATTTGAGCTAAATTGCAATTTACGAAAGGCTCGGATGATTGTTAATGAAAGTACGTGCTTAAGACGTGCGTCGGAACTTAATGGGTTTCCCAAAACGTATGCTTTTATCCAACGAGTCACATTGTTTCTAAGAAACGCAGAAACGACTTATTATTTTGGCTTGGAGACAAATAATACGCAAGATGATGGTAAAATCTTAATGCGGAGAAGATACAATAATAATCCCGTATTACACAGATATTGCGCAAATTTCATGAATTCTGTATAAAATCTGGTAAAGGTGCAATTCAGTAAAATCTTTGTGTGAAATAAAATTTTTTAGAACTCTTAAAACGCTAAGCTTTTAAATAAATACTTTAATAATTTATGTATAAGTATCTGTAATATATAAACCAAAAAAGCCGCAGCAACTAAAATTGGCAGTAAATTAAATTTTTTTTACTTGTAAACATTCATTTAAAAGAATTATATAGACGGTGTGAAAATGTAATGAACGTTATGTAACTCGTTTAATGGCCTTAGCGTGCATGGTTTACATATCTGCGACAGGATTCTTCAAAATGGGTGGTCTGACCTCGCTCTTGACAAGAATTATGAAGAAACATAAAATAAACGCGCATGTCAGACCGATTGTACGATTTGCAGCTTTTAGCATTATCGCGAGAGAACGCCTGCGTTGTAAAGAGAAAAGGAAAATGCGTGACCGAAAATAGATCTGTGTCCCTCTCTTCTTCTCTTTTCCCTTGCCAACCAGGATCGAGAGCGTGATCATATTTGCAGCCCTGCTGAAAGGACATTTATATCTCTCTTTCAATGTTCAAACTTGTAGATGAGCATAAATTCCTTTAGATATGCAAATAGGTTTAAACATATCGATGATTACACATTTGCTGTTTGCTCTTTAAATAATAAAACGAAATAAAATAAAGTAACGTAATTAATTCTACACTCCGCAGATCTAATAAATCATACAATATATGTATTATAATATTATCAAAAAAACAAGTAAATTAAATTTGAACTTAGAAGTGTGTTCTATAAGATACATTCTCTTTACTTTTTAACTTGGAACTGATCTTGCAGAAGGTGAAATAAAGGAAGGGTTGTTATAAAGATATCTTTCAAAGCACCGTCTTATACTTAATGGAAGTCTAATAACTGTAATTCAAGAATTAAACATGTAATAACGTAAAATTGGATAAATTTATGAAATAGGTTGCAATCTAATCAATTTTATATAATCAGTTTCGTAATTAATGGTAAAACTGAAGAGAGAGAGAGTGATTCTATTGTATAATACACGAAAAAATGAGTCGAAAATATACAACACAATTTTTCATACGAGGCTTTGTTTTCGAGAAAATTGATTTTAAATATTCATCAGGTATGAAAAGAAGGAACCGCGTACATGTTTCGCCATGATCCCCGGCCGATGCGTAGCATCTATGTGTCACGTTAGCCCCGAATAAATTTAGCTAAACAAGGCGAAAGAGCTTGAAGCTTTAAGAAAAGCGAGACGAAGAAGGAAGAAGAGCGGACAAAGAAGTGTACTTTTAACACGTGCAAAAATAAACGTAACGTAAAATGTAGCTAATTTTGAAGCTGTTAAATATAAATATTTTTATTTACGTATATATAAATACGAAAAAATATATAAACTGTTAGAAAAAATTATTTTATTAAATGATTCAGTAAAATTACATTCTTATTAAAATGCATTATATTATATGTTGTTTATTTAGTTATTATCGAAAATGATTTACTTATGAAAAAATAATTATAAAAAAAACTTTCTCTTTACAAACGATAGTTTTCAAAAACATGTTTCCTATGTTACATTTTCAATTTTATCAAACGTTAATAATATTAGTGATGCGTTTTGTCAATTTATTAGTGATATGCGAAGTTATACATGTTTCATGTCAAACGTTGTCTAGAAAACACATTAGATACGCAGCAATCAATTGCAAAATAAAAGGCGGATGCGCGATTAATCAAAGAACGAGAGAGTTGTAGGAACATCGGACGTATAAATAGAGGATAGTAACTTGAGAAAAAGAACGATATTGTACGCGCGAAGACGAGTAATACTTGAAGTATGGGAGGCGGAGGTACGATCAAAGATAGCATCGAAGGTACATATGCATTTTAAAGGTAGAACTATCTGTAACCTGTATTTATGTATTGACGTTATGAACAAGGATTATCAATCACGGATAAACGAATACACGCGCATTTGCGATAGGGATGTGCGGAGAAGCATAGACTATCGATATTTTGTATCAATATGAATCGAAATACGCAATATCGATACGGTAATATATTAATTGGAAATGATTCGATATTCGGGAATATCGTTACTTTTTTTGCATGTTTTATATAGAGACGTGTGGATAGCACGAACTTTCGATTTTAAAGAAAAATTAAAAAAAAATCACTAGATAAATTCACTAATTTATCAATAAAATTATAAATATTTTAGTAAATTTATACATACAAATGGGAATGGGAGAAAGATTAATAAGAATAAAAAATTATGCATTTATACATTTTATACAATACATATATTCGTCATTTTATACATATAAGTCTATCAACTAACAAAGATAATGTGAAACATAAAATTT